CTCATTCTCTGGTTGAAGTTCTGTATCTGTCGCAATTGGGGTATTTCCTCTTGCTGGTTCCAGTAGTGAGACATGAAATACCGGGTGTAGTCTAGACTTCTTGGGTAGCTGCAGTCTGTAATTAACTGAGCTGACTTTGTTCAATATTTTGAATGGTCCCAATTTCTTGAAGTCCAACTTTGTACTTGGTCGTTTCGTTTTGATATGTTTCCGGAGTAGGTATACTTTATCCCCCTCCTTGAAGGCAGGTTCCATACTGCGCTTCTTGTTTGCGTATGCGGCGGATCGTTCATTTAAGAATTGGATGTCCGTCGCAAGTTGTTCGTGGAACGATTTCAGTTGTTCCACCACGATCAGGGCTTGTTCAGCTCGTGATTCATCCGGTCTTGGTTGCCTATATGCTTCTGGCTGGTAGCCGTAATTGGCAAAGAATGGTGAGACTTTCGTTGCTTCTGTCATCGCGCTGTTATATGCAAACTGTGCGATGGGTAAGATCTGAACCCAGTTATCCTGTTGATGATTGACATAGCTTCGCAGGTACTGTTCAAGGGTCTGATTTAATCTTTCTGTTTGGCCGTCTGTCTGGGGATGAAAAGCTGTTGATAGCTTATGATTTGTTCCCAGTAGCGCCATCAATGATTTCCAGAATTTCGAAGTAAAGAGCTTGTCTCTATCTGAGATGATTTCTTCTGGCATCCCATGATCGGCTAATATGACTCGAATGAAGGTATATGCGAGCGCCTCGGCGTCGCTAGCTTCTAGATATGGTATAAACTTCCCATATTTCGTGAGTCTTTCTGTGATGACGAGGATAGAGTCGTATTCTATTCCTGTTAACGGGTCCTTGGAGGGTGGAAGCTTGACGACGAAGTCCAAAGCTATTGATTTCCACGCTCCTTTTGGTACTGGTGTCGACTTGAGTTGTCCGTATGGCAGATGCCTATTGGATTTTGACTTGCTGCAAATGTCGCACTCTCTTACCACTGTCTCTACCTGCTTCCTCATACCTGGGAAGTAGTAGTGTCGGGTGATTCGTTCGAAGGTTCGTGTTACTCCCTGATGACCGTGTGCTGGTAACGAGTGTTGTTCTTGCACCAGCGGGCATCTCATTTGACTTGGGACATATACTAACCCTTTGTATCGAATCAATCCTTGTTCGTCGATGGTGAAGTCGCCTTCGACTTTGGACAAGACTCGCTTGGCGCATTCGTCTGTTGCGTAAGCTTTCTTGAGTCTTTCCTCGAGTTCTGTATCTTCGATGACTGAGATCGTCGCTAGTAACTCGTTGTACTGTATTCCTGCATCTGTTTTCTTCAGAATTGCTCTAGGTCTTTCTTCCTTTGGGCCGGCGTAGTCGGTCCGTCTGCTGAGAGCGTCTGCTCTTGCATTCTCGGAGCCCTTGCGATAGGTTATCGTGAAGTTGTAGGCTGCGAGGGTTTCTGCCCAGCGGACTTGTCTGCGGTTTAAAACCTTGGTCATGGTGAAGTATATGAGGTTCTTGTGATCCGTCCATACCTGCACAGGGTAGGTGGGTCCCTCAAGATATACTCGCCACTGCTCAAAGGCAACGACAATAGCCAGTAGCTCTTTGTCGTGGATGTCGTAATTGAGTTCCGCGGGTGACAGTTTCCTAGAGTAGTACGCGATTGGTTTGAACTTACCGTTCTCGTCTGGTTGATTCAGACATGCTCCAATTGCGAAGTCAGAAGAGTCCGTTTCGAGGATGATCTTCTTTGCAGGGTCAAATGTAGCAAGGATAGGTGCTTCCGTGAACTTCGTCTTAAGTTCCTGGAAAGCAGCCTCTGCCTTGTCCGTCCATTTGAATTCGAGATCCTTTCTGGTAAGCTCCGTGAGTGGTTGAGCTACCTTGGAATATCCCGAGATGAATCTTCGGTAGAAGTTGGTGAAGCCTAGGAAGGCTTGCACTTCCTTGACCGTGGTCGGTGTTGGCCATTCCAACACTGCCGTTACTTTTGCTTGGTCCATCTTGATGCCGTGCGTTCCAATAATGTAACCCAAGAATTTGACTTGGTTTTTATGGAACTCGCACTTCTCTGGTTTGAGGAGTAAGCTGTACTCCTTTAGTTTCTTCAGGATGAGTTTGACATGCTTGACATGCTCCTCCTTGGTTGCTGAATACACCAGGACGTCGTCTAAGTAGACAATGGTAAAGATGTCTAAGTATTCGTGCAAAGCATCATTCATCAGTCATTGCATGGATGCGGGTGCGTTTGTTAGCCCAAAGGGCATGACTTGATACTCGAATAGGCCATAGCGGGTGCGGAATGCTGTTTTCCACTCTTCCCCAGCCTTGATTCGGATCAGGTTGTATGCTCCTCGCAGATCTAGCTTACTGAAGATCTTTGCTCCTTGAAATCTATCGTGTAGTTCGTTGATTAACGGCAGGGCATACCTGTCCTTGATTGTGATGTTGTTCAATGCTCGATAGTCCACACATAACCGTAGGGAGCCGTCTTTCTTTGGTATGAAAAGCACCGGACTTCCTGCTGGTGATGTGGATGGTTTGATGAATCCTTTCGCTAGGTTATCATCGATGTACTCCTTAAGTACCTTCAGCTCCTTTTCCGATAGCTGATATATTGGTCCGAACGGTGGACTCTTGTCTTTCTCCAAAGGTATCTCGTGATCCCATGGTTGGTGCTTAGGAAGCGCCTCGTTCTTAGGGCCTTCCTGGAATAATTGCTCGTATTCCTTGTACTCCACCGGTATACTCGTCGGTGAGGATGCCTGGGCTAGGTCATCGAGCTCGGAGGTTGCACATAACTCCTTCCGGCCCTGGGAGGGTTTCTCCCGTTGTCGCGTGTCCGTCCGTTGTTCACACGTGCACTGGCTCATCACAACTTTCTCGTTCCACCAGTCGATCTGGGGGTTGTGTTTCTTGAGCCATGGCACACCAAGGATGCACGCATGGTTGTCCATGTGCACGATGTCAAACTGAATCGTTTCCTTGTGCCCGTGTAGCATGACCATTTCCAATGGGACCGTTTCGTGGGTCACCATTCCTTCATTAGTCGAGATGGGCTCTCCATCTACGACCATTAACGGGTATGGTTCGGTTTTCAATTGCGTCTTGAAACCTTGCGTGTCTGCTACTTTCTTTGTCATAAAGTTGCCCGTTGCTCCTGAGTCAATCATTGCTCGGAGGTGTCGCTGTTGTATCTTAGCGACCACATATAGTTGCATGCTGCCCGTCGTGGCGCATAGCTGGTCTGTACTAGGCCTCTTCGTGTCGCTCGCCGGTGGCCTACCGTCGAGGACTCCTAGTTTTTTGACTCGTCCGAGGAAGGATAGTATTCATCCGCTTCCAATGGTGGTCCTTGGGGAGATCGTTTCCCTCGCTCTTCTGCTTCGTCTAGCAGATGTGGGTATTTCTCGTATACCTGTTCGCTTTTGATAGGCAAGTCCCCTTCAGACTGGCTTTGCCTGAGGGCGTGAACTTGCTCTGCGTCTCTGAATTGTATCCTGGGCGAGGATCGGGGAAACAACTGATTCTGGTGTTTTTTTTTCCAGTGGAGCTTGCAGTCATCTTCGCTGCAATACTCCCAGTAGACATACGCGTGCCAGGGATGATCAGTCTCTGTTGCGTCTGTCATTGATAGTTCCCGCTGTCCTCTCACCCATGCACTATCTTCCCTCGGAGGCGTGGAGAACGTGTCTAGTTGCTCCATGGCTCTCCTTTCGATGCGTGGAGTGGGTCTCGCATTTTCCCGTCGCAGCATACCTCTGGCTTTCTCGTCGTACTTCTCCAGGGCTCTCCTGCGGTCCTGGTAGTAAAGTTCGACGCTTTTCATATTCTTCAGTTTAGCCATATGCTCGACATCCTTCTCCAGTTCTTCCGCTTCTTGGGCCTCCAACTTAGCTACGTCTGGGGACGTGCCAAGCAGCCTGCGGGTATTCGTTAGTTGGTCGTAGTATCTCCAGAGGTCATCCTTGCAGTCGTCCACCTTGCACTCTAACGGAAGTCCCTGTAATAGGTTCCCGTAGATGCCCTTAAGTGTGGGCATTCTCCTCTGGCCGCTGGGCTTGTCTCGTTCGGCCCTAATCTTCGCATGGGCGTGTTTTGCCATGTGTCTTACTACGCTCTTGCACCGTGGACTCATTGGTTCCATAGGTGCGAGCTCGTTGAAGGTTCCCTGTTCCGAGACGGTGAACGATTCCTCCTCCGACCCTTCGTCTGAGCTCTCGTCTTCTGGGGTGCTTTCGCTGTTTATTCCCCAGTCCTGTTTGCTCACAAACGTTGCGTTCAACTGTCCTATCCCCGAGGCATTGTAACCTCCCCGGCCTTGCCAGGTAGCATTGAGTTGTTTGCCGACTTTGCGTCCGCCGTTCCCTTTCTTTGGCTGTCTGCAGTCTCGGGCCATGTGGCCTGGCTTGTCGCAGTTAAAACAGAGTCGTTCCTTGAATTGTCTGTCTTTCTTAGGGTCACGGGGTCGTCCAGGTTTGAACGTGGCATCGAGTTCCATTGGGTCCGACCAACGGTTGTCTCGCGGGTGTTGATCCCGTCGTCTGCCCTCGTTTCCCCAGTAGGGGTAACTTTTCTTGGGCTTGTCATAGGTCCGACGTTCCTTCTGGAATTCGTATAGTCGATTGTCGATTCGGACCGTATGTTCAATTAGCGCTACCATGTCCGTTGGTTGTTGTTCCAAACGGGCAAGTTCCATACGTATATGGCTCTTCAGCCCACGTCGGTAGTGGCTGATGAGTGTGCTGGCGTCCCATCCTGTCTGATTGCCGTATCTCTGGAATTCTGTGGAGTACGTGAGGGTGCTGTCAGTCTGCTTAAGTGCAAACAGATGGTCTTCCGCGGTCTTAATCTCATCAATGTCTCTGAACATGCGTCGGATTTCCTTACAGAATCCTTTCCAGCTGCCAAACATAGTCTACGTAGTTGCCATTCCATTGGTACTTTCATATTTGAAATAATCCTTGAGGAATGGTTCGATCCATCGCAGGGCTTCCCCCCTAAGGTAGGACGCAGTCTACAGGGCATAGCTCTCCTGGGTGGGAAACTTCTCGTCATTGAAGTGCTGGTACAGTTCGACCTGTAGCAAAAACACCTCAAGTTCCTTTCGGTTGCCGGAGTAAGTGTCGGGCAACTTGACGCGTAGAGTTTCCTTGAGTTCGTTGATGGTGGGTGCGTCGGGCATCTCTTCATTCTCAGGCTTAGACCTCTGAGACGAAGTTGGCATGGTGGGGGTTTTCCCCTTCGAACTGACGACAGACATGTTGCTTTGTGTATGAGCCAGTGCCTCGTAGAAGTGGTGCTCAAAGTGTAACGCTGACTTCTAAACGATAGAAGATACAGAGGTTCTCTTGCGTAAAGGTTTACTTATCAGAGGAGGCAGGGGATCAGACACAAAGGCTTCAAGTAACACGTTACTAGTATATAACAAATACTGTATTGAGTTGAGCACAAAGCTCCTATCTAAGGAAATACTATCTACTTATATAGTGGCGTCGTGCCTCATGGGTAATCTGGATAGTTGGCGGATAGCTAGATATTCAGGATAGTTCGTGGATAGCTCAACTATCCAATATCCACTAGTTTCTGCAACTATCCATTAGCCCCGTCACATGGCAGCCTACCCCGCTTCCCACTGTGACTCACACGTCACGTTATGTGACTCACACGTCACGTTACTAGGCCCTGGCCCTGTAACCATGACATCATGTTACTATAGCCGTAACATTGCTCTGTGATTTGTTGCTCGTTGCTCTGGATCAGTTCCTGTAACTGGAGAATGGCATCATTCTTTTCAGCCAGTATCGAATTTGAGTCCTCTGCTGGGGCCAAATAGTCCTGAAGAATGTTCTTGTGCAAAGTCCATGCCATTTTCTGGTTGGTGACAGATAGTTTCTGGAATTCGTCAAAGGTTTCAACATTCCATTCAGCCTTTTCATGTCGATTTGCAAGTATAGATTCATGTCTCTCTTGAGCTGTTTTGCCCAGAGTGTGAAGGAAGGTTTCGGATTTGAAATTAGGATCATGAAGTTCATTGGTTTGGTTTGCAGAGCTTGGAATTGATGCTCCTTCTGCCAGGGATTCCTGGCCTTGTTCTGGATCATTTCGAGCTGCCATTGCAGCTTTTTCTTCAGCTGTATAAGCCATAGCGAGTTGCTATTTCAATTTCGGTTTATATCGTCAAGTCAGACACATATTGCCAAAGGACCTATTGTGCAGTTGTTGGCCGTAGGAGCCACTCGAGAGGAGCGCACTTCCCTCACAGTTATATCCTTGTCGAGGGAGCATTGTAAAAGGTCTGACTTGCGAAGGTGGTGTGTGTGTGTCGAGCTGACTGTCGAAAGCCAACTTTGAGGGGTTGCCTCGAGATCGTCCTGGAATTGACTTCAGGATAAGGTTTCTGATTCTGGGGTTTTCAAAGAGTGGATTTCGATTTCGATTTCAGAAGAGGGTTCAGCTCAAAGAGCAGGAAAAGAGGTATAAGAAAGATTGAGTTTTATGTCACGGTTCACCAAGGCATAGGGCGCCAGTTGGGTATTATGAATTAAACTCAATCTAGAGAAGAAAGGAAAGAGAAGAGGAGCACTCGAGCAGTGGCTCGATCTATATACAGCTATGTTGTTGTGGAGTGAATTATCTTTAGCAAGACCAGTTCTGAGAATTCACTCCACAACTGAAAACTTCGCTCCAACCCCGGAAAGCTCCCCACACCCCTGAACCCCCACTCGAGCTGCAAGGCGCACTTGATATCGTAACAAACTTGGCAAGAAAAGGCAAAGAAGAGTATCAAGAAGTTGTGGGAGGAGGAATACAAGCCAGAATCGACTATTCCGACCTCTATTGCGCCTGCCACCACGTCTACTAATGAATTTGAGCTCTGGCTGAACTCTATTGATACGCCAATTGCAGTTGTAGACGAATTCAATTACTACTGTAAAGCAGAGCATGTTTTGGGCTACCAGAGCGCTATTGAGTGGTGGCTTGAACCTGCGCAACAAAAGGCCTACCTGAATCTCTCCAAAATGGCTCTCGATATGCTCTCTCTTCCGGCAATGTCCTCAGATCCAGAACACGTGTTTTCTGCGGCAAAAATCACTCTTTCAGATCGCCGGAATAAGCTGGGCATACGTATGATTGAGTTTTTGGAGTGCTTGAAGTCGTGGACTGGCCTATTAGAGTGGGAGATGGAAGTGAGAGATATGGAGGTTGCAAAGAATGCCATCTTAAAGGGGCCAGGAGTTGAGGAAGCCGCTAGATACACTATAGAGGCAGATTTGTAGGTAAGTTTGTCCGTTGGTTCTTGGCAATGACATCGTTACGTTCGTTGGGCATACAGAAACTGACTACAGTTGGTTTACAGGTAGCAAAATGACAGTTAGTTCAAGAGCCTCAAAACGACGTCGTTGAAACGGCGTTCAACTATCACTGCCTCTACCACGTCGATCTACACGGGTAACAACCATTAAAGGACAAATAACACCCATCATAAAGCCAGTTTCGTCAAAGTTGTACAAGTTAGAGTCCAACACCCTGTATTTTGCCCTTCTATTTTTAACTAGTCAGAACCACGAGTTAATTAGCTCAGAATCTTCGCATAAGGCCCTTTGGAAATCATAAACGCAATTAACATGTCTTAAGAGCTGGTTGTCGCTTTACAAATCGATGTGCCTAGAGCTTTCTGACACGTTGCCCTCTATGCGTTTGTAGGATCAAATTTGCCATATCTTCGACGCTAGTTAACTAGGGCGCAAACCCTCTTGTATCCATATCAAGTATGTTTCGAACAATTACATCCTCCTCTAGTTCAGTTAATTTAGACGCTCCAGTCAGAGGTCAGCACCTCACTGACTTTCAGAAACAAGGAGTAACAAGATCAGTGCTTGGAAGCTTGGAAAAGATCTGGAAGTATGTGATAGTCGATTTACTGTATTGTCTGCTTGCCCTTTCTTAAGGAAAGGGCAATCCTATTTATGCTAAAGGAGTGTAGTTCTCTCATTTTCCAAGACTTTCCATGACTAACCGGGCTTGGTAACTGTATTAGAAATCAAGTGCAACCCATAACTAGCTTGCTAATCATGTAGTGAATGTAAGAGAATCCCATAGAACCATCTCTTAAGTTCCTAGCCTATAGGAAGTGAAAAGAGGTCCAAGGTCAGAGTACCCCTAGAGACAAATTATGTCATAACTTAACCAATCTTGTGGGTAACTAAGGGGCAATGATGTGTAATGAATCATATTGGGTTGTAGAAGCTTTTAGAGCTATTGTTCATGTTCCTAGGCCTCTAGTTGGTAGAGACATGCCATGTGGTAGTATTAGCACACCACCTTAAGGAGGAGATTTTCTTAATAACTTGTTCAATGAGTATCCAAATGATATGCCGTGATGTATGTAGCATAAACAGATGTTGTAGAAGAGTTTACAGCAATCGTTGAGTAGTATTGCTCTTGTTATTGTGTGATAAGCCAAGATATGTATGGTGACTTGTAGGTTTGAGGAGTAGATTTCTAAGTTTGCTCTTGAGTTTAGTAGCAAACTGAGTGCAAGGAATGTCAGTATGACACTGACTTAAGCTAGAAGCCAACATCGACCACTTCCTAAACAACAAGATGTAGATGAGTTATCTCCAAAGCAGACTAGTAGGACTCGCAGTTTGCTATGTGAACCTAAGGCTTCGCATTACATCGCCAAACATGCTCTAGTTAGCAGAAGAAATCATCCAACTCCTTAAGAAAGTGTTTAGTGACCCTATTAGATGACACACTGCACAAACTGAGTACCGCAAGCTATATCAAGTATATAGATCGAGCCACTGCTCGAGTGCTCCTCTTCTCTTTTCTTTCTTCTCTAGATTGAGTTTAATTCATAATACCCAACTGGTGCCCTATGCCTTGGTGAACCGTGACAGGTTAGTCATGGAAAGTCATGGAAAATGAGAGAACTACACTCCTTTAGCATAAATAGGATTGCCCTTTCCTTAAGAAAGGGCAAGCAGACAATACAGTAAATCAACTATCACATACTTCCACGTCTTTTCCAAGCTTCCAAGCATTGATCTTGTTATCTTGTTTTTGAAAACTCAGTGAGTTGCTAACTGTCATACTGACATTCGTTGCACTCAGTTTGCTATCAAACTCAAGAGCAAACTTAGAAATCTCCTCCTCAAACCTACAAGTCACTATACATATTTTGGCTTGTCACAGCAACAACAAGAGCAATACTACTCAACGATTGCGACAACCCTCTATGATTCATTACATGTCATTGCTCCTTAGTTACTGGGCTGATATGACCACATAGCATATCTCTACAACCGTCTATGATTCATTTCATGACATCACTCCTTAGTTACTGGGCTAATACTACACATGACATATCTCTATCAACTAGAGGCCTAGGAACATGAACGATAGCTCCTGATTGCTGCGTTATGGAATAGCCTAAGCTACGACCCTTTGGCTCTGCTAAGACAGTGTATTGTCTTAGTAAAATCATCCCTTCCTTGGGTGGCTAGATTCTCACATCTGGTGCACCCACCATTACAATCTGGTTAGTCTGATGTGTAACATGCCTCCGAAGATTTGCCCCATAAACTGACCACCTAGGTCTACGCTGGCGATTTGGATTACCGAAATCCTCTGCTGTATATTTTGCATTTGGGTCTGAGGTCATTGCTGTATGTGGTGGGTTGATTTTATAAATCCCAATTTTTATAGGGGTTATAAGTAAGAGCCGCATCATGAACAGTCAAATTGTGTTCAGTAATCTGTGTATTGTTCTGTCTAATTGTAGCTGCCTGAAATTACGGTGAAGTTGAGTTGGGTCACGTGACCATATTACAACACACCCCCCACGTATCCCAGCTCTACAGTAGTAAATTAAAGGGGAATTAGGAGAAAGGTTGCTCCCCAAGCTACCCGGCAAGACCATACGGGTATAGAGCTTCGGCTTCGGGCCCGTCGGCTCCATTCTTCCTACACAACCACGCCGAACCCGACCCCTCCACCCCGCCACCCACCACCCCCCACAATCAATCAATCAATCAATCAATCAATCAATCAATTAATCAATCAAGATGCCAGTCGTTGGCGAAGTTACCGAGGGCAACCTCAAGATGGTTCAAGTCCGTGAGGACTTACGCGACTCCCTCTCTGCCTACGACTTAGGCTCTGCTCCCTCCTCGGAGGATGAGGTTCTTATGGAAGTGGAATTGGAGGCGGGGCTACGAGGGCCCAGGCGAGGTGGTGGTTACGCACCCCCAAGAGCTTGCGGCTTGGTATATCCAAGCTTCAGGCTGTACCACCTCCCCGGAGTGTGACCAGTGTTTGCACGCGAACAGTAGTAACTGTGCGCGCCCCTTCTTCCTCTTCTGTGTCGTCTCCGGCGCCCTTCAGGGCGGCGCCTGTGGCTCTTGTGTGCTCAAGCACAACGCGGCGGGTTGCTCCTTTAGTAAGTCTTCCTTTCCTAGTATTGTACGTAGCTTGAATTGACTTTCTGGATAGGCACCGCGAAGACCTGGCGCCCGGCCACCCCAGCACCCCCCCAGCCACCAAAGGCTGGCAAGAGAGCTGGCACCCGTGCCCACGCCGCCCAGTTGGCCCGCGAGGCCGCAGCTACGGCTGCTAAGAACCCTGTTGTGGTGGATTAACTGGTGGATATCTGGTTTGTGCACCTTGGGTGCTTAGATAGTCGTAAATGGCAATGGATTTCGCTTTGATTCTTCTTTTCTAGTTGTGACATGTCCGTACGTAGTAGGAAGTGTGAGAATCTCCTGGATTTGTATAGTAAAAGTTGGGGATTTCTCCTGTTTTCATCTTTCTTCCCCCTTTTTTGAAATGGAATTAAAATTTCGAAAAATGACTGTGAAATATTGGTGCATAGTGTAGTATCTGTATCGTATGGAGTTGTTTTCATAGTAGCACACTCCTAAAGGAGGTGCTTAATGTCCACTAGGTTAAGATGCTTAATGAACTCCTTATGCTTCTGGTGTGGTAGGGCTTTGGTGAATCCATCTGCTGGCATTTCGTACGTAGCTATCCATTTGATATTGAGGTTCCGATGCTCAACCTCCTGTCTTAACCAATGTGAGTGGACGTCAATATGCTTCAGCTTTGTAACT